CTCCACGCCGCAGGTGGGGGGAGGGGACGGCGGTGAAGGGGCACCGCCGCAGGGCGCAGGTGCCGTGTCCATGACAACCGCGTTACCCTGCCGGCGGGGACCCGGAGCTTAAATGCTGGAGCAGAGAGGCCCGCAGAGAGGGACCAGCGCGCGGGAGCTGTCCGGACTGGGGGCAGGGAGGAAAGGAGGGTGTCGCAGATAGGAAAGAAGGGTCAGCCCCGCAGGGATCCGCCACGTGGCGGCGGGGGGAGGGCCTGAGAGCAGCAAAGGTACCGACTGACGCGGGAGGCAGGTTTGTGGGACCTGGAGAGAACTGCACTTTGAAAACCCAGCAAAGAATGGAAGTGTTCAAACACATGGACTGTTTGCTCATTTAGCCAGCCTTTGTTGAACGCTGCCTCGATGAAAGCATTGCGATTCTTTGATTCAAAGACTATTACTGAGCCCTTAGTTCGTACCGTACTTAGGCACTCGGAACGTTCAAACATGTGTAAGCCCCGGCGTCTGTACTCGCGGAGGTGGTGCCCCAGTCGGGGAACTTAACACAGAGCGGGCGGGAGTACACGCCGGGCCCCACCGCAGCCTGCTCCAGGGTGCGGAATGGAACTGCTGCTGAAGTGATCGAAGCGGAAAAACGTAAACCGCTATATCAAGTGTGAAACATAAGTTCCAGTTGTCTTTGTTTGCCACCTCGCCAACTGACGGTTCTCGTTTTGTTTTGTTTTTAAAGCAAGAGCGAAAAATAAAGACAAAACCTACAGCAGTGCGGTGTGACACACCGGTGCTGCGCTCACAACGTGCTACCTGTCTGGCATCGTCGCCCAGGAGTGTTAATGCGTTTGTTCTTGCCGACACGTGGATGACTTTCTATCACCAAGATCACGCATTTTGACTTTCTATCCCCAAGAACACCCATTTAAAAAAAAAAAAAAAAAAAAAAAACTCCTTCATCAATGGCCATGTCAGCTATTTTTCATCCCCCCCCCTTTGTTCACAAGTTGGCATCTGCAATTGTTTGAAAATTATATCAGACCCTAGTATCTTTCTCTCCAGGCAATGACTTGAAGGTGCTCCCTCTGTCCATTCTTATATTTTTATCTCCCAATATCATCTTGGCTTTCTTTCTCCTTGTCGCCACCACTTTACCAATTTAAAATTCGTGGGGAAAAGTGGATATGGTTCACCAGATGTAAGCTTTAGAAAAGTCTCCTTAACCAACAACGTCGTTTCAGGACCACGGACAGGGATAGCGCGTGCTCCTCCCACCAAGCGTTTTCCTTAGGCTCTGCCTATAGACACACAGACATACACGGACACGCTAAAGAAACTACAAAAAAGATGAACAAAGTGACTAAAGAAAAGAGCGTAGGGTGGACTTGAGTATGTAGGAAGGTAGTAGGCCTAGGTTAGATTTTGAAGAATAGGTCAAGGCATCGCAAGAATCTAAAGACAGGGAAAGTTCAGCCAGCAAGATGCTTCTGTAAAAAGGAATACTCCATGCTATGCCTAAACATCGTCTTCTTGGAGGAGGGAGCAGCTCTGATTTTAAATGGCCCAAGATGTGGAAAGTAGAAAGTAGCCCCAGTCAAATGAGGCAGAACTAGAGGATTGTCATTGTTTTATTATTATTATTATTATTATAATTATTATTATTGTTGTTGTTGTTGTTATACTGTTACTATTATTGTTGTTGTTGTTGTTGTTGTTGTTACACTGTTATTTTTCATTCACTGGTCAGGATGGAAGAGATTAAACTAAAAATATTAAGTCTAAAGAGTGTTCAGACAAGTTCATCTCTTTAAAGTTTGGAGAATTCATATTTTTTTGGCATTGTTTTAACTAGGCTTACATTTTTTAATTCTAGGTCTTAATTGCCAGCAGACAGGGTGGGGGAAAGACCAAGAGCTCACTTGTCAAAATGAGATTTTCCTTGATTTTGTATTATAGGACTTCAAAAACCACACAATATTATTCAGAGTCACTTATAATCATTCATTAAATATTTGTAAGCTTTTTGCCCATGCAACTGCATTGAATTATAGTTAATTTAAAAAAAAAAACAGCATAAGAGCCATTTCTGACTTCTCAGATCCTTGGCCTCACTAACTCTTCCTTTAAAATGCACCTTACTGTTATTTGTCAGTCAGATAGTGATAAAAATAACATTGAGGCAATGCATTTAAGTCAACAGCAGGCAAATGTCAGCTGAGCTTTATGTTCCCTGTCTCCAGCGAATTTACTAATTGTTTTATGCTTTGAATGAAGGGGAACCCCCACTTCTTATAGGAAATGCAAAGTGAGTATTACTTTAACCATATTTATTTCTCTCTGAAAGCAGTCTAAGCATACTTGCATAAATAATGGCTATCATTGGATTCTAAAAAGCTATCATTTTGTTTGTCCCCATTTTAAGCCAAGGGGATAATTTTTTAGCCTTATTTGTTTTGTTTTGAGACTTCTTGTGAGTCTATTTTTGATTTTCTTGATTTAAGTATTGTCCTTTATTTCAATGACATAAATATATACAGTTCTCAGAAAAACAAGCTGTTTCTCCTTCCACCACTTGCATGAAGGATTTATGCCAACAGAAATAGCAAATAAGAGTAGTGTTAAATGCACAGTACTGTGTTCACATAGAAAAATATACTGTATGTAATTAAAATATATTTTAATCTGTGATAGTATGACATTTTTCTTTTTAGAAGAGACTCCAAACTAATACTAGCACTAGTAAGAAAAATCATTTTTAATGCTCAAACATTTAGATATCAGTCCTCTACAGACTGGGACACTCATTCGCTCTTTGGCTCTAGAAATTTCTCTCTTAAATCCTCCTGAACAGTTTCACTTTTTAATAGACCTTAATTTTTTAGAGCATTTTAAGGTTCACAGTAAAACTGAGTGGGAAGTGTAGAGAGTTCCCATATACCTGTTGCCCCATTCTTGCACAATCTCCCTCACTATTAACCTCCACCACCACAGTAGTACATTTGTCACAACAGATATACCTACACTGACACATCAGTATCACCAAAGTCCACGGTTTACAGTAGGATTCACTATTGGTTTTGTGCATTCTATTCATTTTGGAAAAGTATGACATGTATCCTCCACTGTAGTATTATACAGAATAGTTTCACTGCCCTAAAAATCCTCTATGCTCTGTTCATTCCTTTGCCTTTTCCAGAATGCCATATTGTTGAAATCATACGATATGTAGTCTTTTCAGATCAACTTCTTTTACTTAATAATATACATGTGAGATTCCTTCATGTATTTTCATGACATGATAGCTCTATTCAGCAGCAAATAATATTTTATTGTCTAGGCATAACATAATTGGCCCCTTCACTCACTGGAGGACGTATTAGTTGCTTCCAAGTTTTACCAATTATAAATAAAGCTGCTGCCATGGCCACCTTTTAAGGACCTCCTAAATATATCAGATGCAGTCACTATAGTTCTTATACATCTTAGGATTCCAGGATTTCTCCTTAAATAGGCAAGCTTGTTCTCCCAAACCTTAACACCAAGTTTCATCTCCTGACTAAAAAATAACATGGGGTCAGCACCCAAGAACAGTGGATAAGTGCTATGTGCGGGGAATATAATACTGTAGGTCCAAATCTAAGCCCCAGAATATGCCCAGGATCCTGATACAAAGGGATGTGGAGGAGAAGGGATCATGGTGTGACCAAGTCCCATTGCAATGCATGCTCTCTCATGTTCCCTGATGTGCGCATGTGCCCTCTGGTGTTAAAAAAGAAAAGAATAGAGAGCAAATAACCAATGAAATCTCCACTTTTATATGTTGGTTTATGTACTTCTCTCACTATGAAGGATCATCAAAAAGTTCATGGCAAACACATACGGAAACTATTATTTACCATTTTTTTGCAGCAACATAAATTCATGTTTCCACAAATGTTTGAGGTCTCCTCATAATAAAAAATAATAATGACATTAAAATAACTTGTTTGGGGATGTTTTTTTTTCACTGAGGAGTTTATATCATAGTTCTAGCAACTCCAACTTACCTTTTTTCAGACTTATTTATAATTTTTATCTCCAGGTAATTGTGTGTATAAATACTGTAATAGTATATGTGTATGTGTGTATATATATATATATATTCCATTTGTTTTTTTTTCTAGAGAGATTTTTGCCATAGTGTGCATGCACCTGCTGGAGAGACAGAGACAGAGGGATAGAAAAGGAGAAATCACACCCCACCCCCCCAGGGTGGTGGCTGCACCAAAATCCCTTCTCCTCTATTCTCCTCCTGGGATTTTCAGGACACACACACACACGCACACTGGCATGAGTTTTAAGTCTCCAGTTCCAGGACTTGAACTGTGGTGGATTACATAGGAGTCCAGCAATGTAACCATTTCCCCATCTGCTGGTCCCACATATGTATACTCCATTCTTATGTGCAATGTAATATAATGGGTATTTTAGGAACCACATGTATAACATTTATTTTATATGTTGAAACATTTCAACTGCAATGTTATATAGTTAGAATATAGTA